CGCGGCGTTCATGCACGCATCGCTGACGGGGGCCAAGCTGGCCATCGAGAAGCGTTCGAGTAGGTGGCCACGGCCTCGCACGACGTTCCGCATGCTACTGTTGGAACAGCTACTGAAACGCCCAGGCGCGTTACCAGAAACGGGCGGTCTGGACTTCCTTTTCGCGACCGCGCACGCGTTTCTCCTTCGCCCCCCGTCAAGTGTGCTGGTCATCCAGCGCGCCGCTTTTCTTAACGACGCGTCGCATTTTCGCGCTGGCCTATTCATTGACGAAGAGGCCGCCGTCTTACAATCGTGACATACAGACAACGATTGTGCGCAAGAGCGGTTGCAAGCGCCCGCGCGCCACGTGCCCCGCGCACACCGTCGGCGCCAGGTTTAACTCTCGACCTGAAGGCGACGCCCCGCGGGCTGACTGGCGCGCTGCGAGCGCGCGCGGCGCGCTGCAGGCAGCTCTGCGCCACGCGGAAATAGGATTCGCAGACGCCTATGGTACCCGTTCGTTCCGACGGGGCCATGCTCGAGACATCGTGGAGTTCGGCGGTCGAGCCACCGACATCCTTCATGCGGGCGCCCGGCAGATGCCAGCTTGGATGCGCGACCTTGACGTGGAAAAGTTGGAGCGCCAAGCCGTCGCCAAGGCCCACTTCGGCGAGTCGCCCAGTGACGACGAACGTGGGGGGGCGACTCCCCGGGCGTCCAGCGACGCTGATGCGCGCGCGTTTGGTGCTAATGCGGTTGCGCCAGGCTCATCGCGCGCTCGCTCACTATCGACTGCGGCCGCTTCTCTGCCTGGCACTGGGAGTCAGCGGGCCTGTGGGTGCCGAAGGCTCGCTGGGGCAGCGCTCGACCTCAGCCCCTGGGCCCGTGGCAGTGCGCACGGTACCCGTGTGCTTCGGCCTGCGCCCTGGCGCGCCAGCCGCCAGTGTCGCTTTGCGCTGCGGGCTGGCGCGTCAGCTGGAGGCGCTCGGCCGCGGCCTCAACCAGCGTTGATTGGGTGCCGTTCTCTTCTTCGGGTGGCATCGCGGTCGAACGTCGCCGCGAAGGAGACTTATGGGGCGGTAATAACTTGCCACTGCAAGGGTTTGGTCGACGCCCCCAGGCGGGAGTGCCCCGCCGTCGCGCACCGCGCAATGGCGGGCGCCCGCGCGACCACCCGCCGCGCGCCGCCGCTACGTCGGGCGGGTCAGGCCCCGCGCGGGCATGCTGGCGTGCCGCGCGGCCGCGCGTCGGTGTCCTTCCCCCCCCTGTTCCTCCGAGCACGGTCGACATGTTTCCTTTCTGCCGCCTGGCCGCGGGGCGTGATATCATGTTCCCGGTCATGTCTGCAGCTTCCCACCTGCCTAGTGCGCACTCTGAGGTGGGGCGGCTGGCCAGAGTGTTGTCCTCTGCCTGCCAGAGCGCCGCTTTGGACCACCCCTGGGGCGACGCGCGGCGCGTCCGTTCGACAGTGCGCGCCGGACGCGACCGCGGTCGCTGTTCGTTTTCCCCCACCCACCACCCTCGAGAGGGGGGCATGGTGCCCATGTGCTTCGGCCTGCGCCCTGGCGCGCCAGCCGCCAGCGTCGTTTGACGCGGCGGGCTGGCGCATCAGCTGGAGGCGCGTGGCCTCGGCCTCACCTAACGTCGATTGGGTGCCATGCTCTCCTTTTTGATGGCATCGCGGTCGGACGTCGCCGCGAAGGAGACCCATGACGACGCGGAAACACTGAGGGGCACGGCAACGCCGCAGGACCCGACGGAATTCAGCCTCGATCGATCGGGGCCGTGATCGATTCAAGGTTGAACGATCGACTCGGTGACCGATTTTTTGCGCGCGCCGACGCCGCGCGAACCTACCGCAGGTCCATCTCCAGTTCTCGGTAGCATCTTGTACCGCATCTGCGTGTCCTCGCGGGTTCTCCAGCCTCTGCAGTGCTCTCTTGCATTACGATTATCATGCAGTTTCACTCGCTAGACTGCCAGTACTCTTCGCTCAAGCCCGCTTACTTACACACGCGATGGAAGACGGGACTGTCTACCAGACTCTTTCGCTCTCTTTCTCTCTCTCTCTCTCTCTCTCGTTCTCTCTCACTCTCTCTCATTGTTTATGTATTGATTTATCTTTCTCTCTCTCTCTCTCCCCCCCCTTTCTTTCTTTCCCTCTCTCTCTCTCGCTCTGTCTCTGTCTATGTATCCGCTCGTTCACCCTTTTCTCATCCAACTCCCATCGATTGTTGGCCAAGTCTTCTAGGACACCTGCGGGGCAGTTTGGGCCAGGAACGCCCCTGGCAGCACCCGGCCCTCTCACCCTTGCAGTCCAACGCTTGGGGCAAGGCCCACGCTGGTTTCAGAGGGGGGCTCGATACCCCTGGGGGGCGATTCCACGGGCTCTCCCCTGGCGCTCCTCGTGGAAGCGGGGCGGGGTCGACGCCAAAAGGGGGGTGTCCGTCCTTGTCCCAAGCCTCCTTGTGGCCAGACTTGGACTGCATCCCCTGCGGCAGCCGTCCTCCTCGGTTTCCCCCTCCTCACCCCGGGGTCTGCTTCGATCCGACTCGATCTCGATCCCGGCCTCTTCGACCCGATTCGATCCCGATACTCCGACGATCCGATGCGGCCCAATGCTGGCATGGCGGTTCGATCTCCAGGGCCCATTGTGATCCTAGTCGATATCGACCCCAGCTTGCTCGACCCGAGGCGATCCCGATGTTCCGACGGTCCGATGTTGTTTGATGTCTGCATGGCGGCGTTGTATTATATGATGCCCTGACGCGGCCAACCTGAGTCGATGCCGACTCGTGATCCCGAGCCGATTCGAATCCGACTTGACTCGGCATGCAGTGGAGGCCCATGCCAAGAAACACATTGCTTGCCTTGGGTTTCGATGGTTTTGCTGTGGAAGGTGCGACGCGCCCACCCGAAAAAACAGTGGACGTCCTGGGGTGACAGGATTGGGTTTCTTGTGGAAGGTTTCTGGTGGACTGGCCTCCAGTGTACGAGGAGCGCCAGGGGAGAGCCCGTGGAATAGCCTTTGGAGCATCGAGCCCCTTCCGAAACCAGCGTGGAGCTTCCTCCTCCTGCTCCTCCTCCTCCTCCTCCATCCTTAGCCTTACAAGTAGCTCCTCCCTTTCGCACCCCAAGACATGTGCCGGCAGGGTGGGCTGGGTGTTTTGTTGGAGACGCCCTCACCATTTATGATCTTGGAGCTCAAGGCGTGCGACAGTTGCACGGGTGGAGGGCGGGTCGTTTTCAAATTGCGGTTCTCGTGTGGGCGCCGTGCATGATGGTCGTAAAGTCTGTAAGAGATGATTTGATGGAGGGCGGTTCCTTTTCAAATGGGGTTATTGCCTCTGCGCCGCGCACATTCATCTTAAAAGTCTGCAGCGCTTCAACGAAAATATGGCGGTGCATTTTCTAGATGTGGGTCTCGTTTTGGTGCCGCGCACATTCGTCATGCACGTTTGCAACAGTTTCACGGATGGAAGTTGTTTCGTTTTCCAAATGTGGTTCTCGCTTTAGCGCCGCGCACATGCGTTTTAAACGTTTGCAGGCGGTTCGCAGATGGAGGGCGGGCCGTTTTCAAAATGTGGTTCTCGTTCTGGCGCCGCGCACATTCGTTTTGAAAGCATGCAACGAGTTGCACGCATGGAGGGCGATTCTTGTTCAACATGTGTTTCTCGCTTTTGTGACGAGCATATTCGTAAAAATAATATACAACGGTTTAGCGGATTCTGTTGGCTGACGTTCCAGGAATGGTGTTCCCGCACAAAACAGGGGTGGGTGCCAGGGCGTACCAGTCACGTTGATACGCGGTATCGAGATGCCACGAACGGTGTTCTGACACGGTGTAGGATCATCAGGACGAAATCAGTTGATTCGCGGCGTTAAAGTCCAAGGCGTGGCGTTTTGGCACGGTTGAGGATTCTCAGACGGTTGCCTTCCAACGGGGCACCCCAGCAGTGACAAAACATTACCGTAGGGACTATGGAGAGGGAATTCGGAGGGAGGGTTTACGGCAACATCGTTGATGCGTCTTGGGCTCACATTGGTCTTTCTCCTCCTCGTCATCATCAACAACATCATGATCGTGGATTTGGAGAATTGCCCCGAAACTGGACTTCTCGAAGGATCTCGGCTTGGCTCCCTCCGCCGTGCCCCCTTAGGTCGGCTAAATGATTGGTTAAATACGTTATGTTGTGAAACGATCTGAGCTGTAGATTGGTCTTGCCCCTCTTCGGATTGCATGCCGTTGTGTTTGTACGACCGCCAGGTATCACACAGTAAGTCGTGGGTGTGTGTTCGGCTGTGCTACCCCCTGGGCCCAGACTGTTGACCTGGACGATCTGCAACACTATGCTGTCTGCCCGCTCGTTGTTCGGACCGATGTTGGACTGTGCCGACACTATTCCTTTCTCACTCCTCCTCCTTTTGAAGCATCTGCCGTCTGCAGACGCCATTATGTGCTGTGCATCTGTGTGTGAAGCGTTTTTGTACACCTACTCAGAAACGAGTGGGGAGTACGGCGGAGCCTGCCGCCGTCTTCGAGGCGCGGAAACGCCTCCACTGCAGGAGGTACCAAGCGTTACAGAAAGCTTGGGCGTGTAACTCAAGGATGTTCAGAGAACCTGGGGATTTGTTTTTTCTTTTCTAGAAAATCATCATCACCACCATCACCATCATCATCATCATCATCATCATCATCATCATCATCAGCATCAGCATCATCATCATCACCATCACCATCACCATCATCATCATTTTCCCTCATTTTCGCTCTGTCGTTGCGGCAAGCAGTGGGTGGCGAAGGTGCAGCGAGGGCTGCCTCCAGGTTCGCCAGGGCTCGCCAAGATGCAAAGCGACCCAGAAGAAGGCGTTCAGATAACCTGTCTACTCTGCCTGAGGCAGGAACGAACAACAAACGCATTCTTTCCCTGGAGGGACGGCTCTCTTCCTGGAAAGGTGGGGCGGCGGAGGCTCGACGACGGACGACGCGTGCGCACGCCCCCGGGGCGCCTCGCCAGGAGACGCTGGAGAAGGCCGGCCTCACGCCGGGGGCCAACATGTACCTGGGCTTTGAGCAGGACGGGCTCGCGGCCTACTCGTCCCGTCTCCTTGCCCCCCCTCTGCCCCTCCCCCCCCCTTGTCATCCCATCCGCCTTGGCTTCTCCCCATTCCCTCCCCTCTCATCTGCACATCCTCACGCGTTTGTGTGCGTGTGCGTGTCTGTGTCTGTGTGTGCGTGCGTGCTTGTGTGCGTGCGCGGGCGTGGGCGTGGGCGTTGGCGTGGGCGCGGGCGCGGGCGTGGGAGCGCGTGCGTGCGTGCGTGCGCGCGTGCGTGCGTGCGTGCGTGCGTGTGTGAAAATGTGTGTTTGCGAAAATGTGCGTGTGTGTAAAAGTGCGTGTATGTATGTGTGTGTGTGTGTTGGTACGTGTGTGTGTGTGTGTGTGCGTTTGCTGGTGCAGAGACGCTCCCTATGGGTGAGCCCTGCGCGTCCCCTTTGGGCCGCCCGAGTGCCCCGCCGCGGCCGCCGCAGCGTCTTTTCGCTAATGCCGCACGCTTGACCCTGCCCCGTTGCTTCGCGCGTGGCCGCGGAACAAAAGCGTGCGTGTGTTTATGTGTGTGTTTGTGCATGTGTACGTGAGTTTTGATGTGTATGCGTGTGTGTGTGTGTGTGTGCTGTGTGTGTCTTTGTCAACGTCTTCGGCGATGTGCATGTGTGTGTGTGTGAGTTTGTATGGTGGTGTGTTGGTATGCTCGCCTGTGATTTGTGTGTGTGTGTGTCTGCTTGTGTGTTTCTCTGTGCTTGTGCGTTGTGTGTGCGTGCGTAGTTGTGTGTGCTTATGTGTGTGCGTGTGTGAGTATGTGCTTATGTGGGTGCATGCTTGCCTGTGCGAGAGTGCATTGGTGCGTGCACGCGTGGGGTGGGTGCGAGAGAGAGTGTGTGTGTGTGTGTGTGCGTGTGTGCGTGCGTGCGTGCGTGCGTGCGTGTGTGTGTGTGAGTGTGTGTGTGTGTGTGTGGGGAGTTTGTTTGTTTGTTTGTATGTGGAGTTGTGTTGTGTATGTTGTTGCCTGTTGCGTGTTGGTGTGTGTGTGTGTTTCTTGCTGCGTGGTTATGCGGTGGAATGGTTTGCGTTTGTATATGAACGTGGTTGTGAACGTGTGCGTAAACATTCGTGTGTGTGTGTGTGTGTTTGTGTGTGTGCGGGTGTTCGTGTGTGTGTGTGTGTTGTGTTTGTTGCATGTGCGATTGTGTGGTGCATGGGCGTGAATGTCCAAGTTGGGTGTATTGTTTCCCTGTACGCCCGCTCGCCTCTCGGAGCCTACCACCTGCAACGCTTGGTGGAATTTACGATAGCTTGCCACCCCTGCTGTCATTCGCTACGGTGACGTCACCTGGCTGGCGGAGGCCAAATTGTGTGAGCGCTGTTCTTGCCAATGGAACTCCCTAGGCTCCTGGGCGCCTGTTGGGGGCCTGGGGGCGGTCTCTGGGGTCATCTTGGGTCGGATAGCCCCAGGGGCCCCCTCGAGCTGCCCTTCTGGGGGCCTCTTTGGGGTTTCCTGTGCTTCTCTCCTTGGCATCGCTCGGACGCGTGCATGTTTCCTCGGCGATGGCCATCGAGGAGCATTCTGGGCCATCTTGCGAAAGGGTATGTGTACGAAGCCGACAAACGCACGAGGAGTGGGCGTCCGACGGCCGAGCCGATGGCGAGTCTCTAGGGCCCGAGAGGTCTGGGCACGGGCCTGCCACGCGCCGGGCGAAAGATCCCGGCAAAACGCGAGCCACCGCACATCGGGGCTCAAGAGAAGGGGGTCAATGCAAACGGGGGGTCAGCCAGGGCGCCGGATCCCGCAGCATCTTGCGAAGACCCCTTCTGGTTGACCCGGGTTAGCGAGCCTCGAGGCGGCCGCGAGGCGGCCGCGCATATTGGCTGACCCGGGTTTGCGAAGCCCTGCGTTGCAGTTTTTTCTCCAAGTAGGATTGCCCTAAAGGAGTCCTAGCTCATCATAAGTAATTGGTCTTTAGGACCCCCCCTTTTTCCAATGGCACCCCCCCCCTTATCCGTAAGGGCTTCGCCCCATGCCGCCGGCCCCCTGTCTCGGATAATGGGAGATGCAAAAGCTAAATCATGAGGTCTGGGCGCCGCCGTGAAGCAGTGTCGGGACCTGTTTGTTTTTCGACCCTGACCCTACGGATCTGCATGAGGGGTGCCACCGAATTTCAGAAATGTAGCAAATCCCTTGTGTTTTTGGACCCTGACCCTACGTATATCTGTGTGAGGGGTGCCGCCGAATTTCAGAAATGTTGAGAATCCCTTTGATTTTCGGACCCTGACCATGTCGATCCGCGTGAGGGGTGCCACCGAATTTCAGAAATGTGGCAAAACCCATGTGTTTTTGGACCCTGACCCCGCCGATCTGCGTGAGGGGTGCCAGCGAATTTAAGAAATGTGGCAAATCCCATGTGTTTCTGGACCCTGACCCCGCCGATCTGCATGAGGGGTGCCAGCGAATTTGAGAAATGTGGCACATCTCATGTGTTTTTTCACCCTGACCCCGCCGATCTGATCTGCGTGAGGGGTGTCAGTTTTTTCCCACCCCAGCAATTCAGCGCACACGCTCAGGGCGTGCTACACCTGCCCGTTTGGGCCTCTCCCCCCTCGCGCGGTCCATCAACCAGGAACAGTAAGCAGCAAGAAGCAGAATTGTAACAGTGGAAACTGGAAGCTGCAACTGGTACAGGAAGCTGCGAACCTTTGCCCTGCAGCCTGGTGGCCCCACAAGGGCCACAAGGGGGCCGGCGGATTTCCAATGTCACCCCCCTTCCCCTCCTCCTTTTTCCAATGGCACCCCCCTTATTTCCAATGCCCCCCCCCTTATTTCCAATGGCGATCCTCCTCATCAACATCACACATTCACTTGCACTTGCTTGCGTGCTCTTGCGTGCCTGCTCTCGTTTGCTTGCCCTCGCTTGCCCTTGCTTGCTTGCACTTGATCGCTGGCTCTCGCTTGCTTGTTATTGCTCGCTTGCGCTTGCTTGCTTCCGCTTGCTTGCTTGCGCTTGCTTGATTTTGCTCCTCCCGTCCTCCTCCCGTCCTGCTCCCATCCTCCTTCCGTCCTCCTCCCATCCTCCTCTCGTCCTCCTCCTGTCCTCCTGTTTTTTGGAGTCAGCGCTGGCCGATCTGTTTTCCTGCATTGCAGTTTTTCGGTTGCCTGCTGACCCGGGTCTGATTGACCTGGGTTGGCAGGTCCCCGAGCACAGGGCGGCCGCGGGCGCCCCCTGGGCGAAACATCCAGAAGCGCAGGCCGACTTCGGCGGCGAGCGAGGGGTCGGAGGCCCAGAGCTTGATACCAACACCGATATCGGTGGTGTGCTTCCACCGAGGGAAGATGCTCCCAATCTCAGCGATGGTGGTAATGTTCGGGCTTCTAGGTGGCCGACATTACCACCAGCACCGAAGTCTAGGATCATTTTTTCCCAGTGGAGGCAACCCCATATGGTGGTGTTGGTGACCATTCCGAGGCCTCCAACGAGGGGGGGAGCCAGTGTGCTGGAACCAGGCCTCTGATCCAGTAGCACGCCTCAGACCTGCCCTGAGTGCGCGCCGCGGCCACCAAGTCGACCGCCATCAGGTACACTGGATGATTATGGCCCATGCCGTCACGTTTCCAAGCGCGATGCAGTGTTGCCTCCTGGCACCTCTTACCTCACGTGCACGTCCGAAAAATGTTGCTTCGCACGTGTTTGGCCGAAGCGAAGGCCTTCTCCGAAGGCGGCGAAACCTCTCAGAAGCCCCGCGCCTTCGGGAAAGCTTGCAGCGTCTTCGGGGACGGCTCAGAAAACTCCTCAGAAGGCCGGGGGACTTCTGAGTCTTCTGAGAAGGTCTTCTCCTTCTCACTTCCCCCCCCTCGCTTGCCGCCGACGGTTACCCTGCAACCCAGGCGGGCGGCTACCTAGTGCAAGCGCTGCGTGGGTGGTAAACGTAAACCTGTGGAGGTCCGCGCGGGATTCGTGGGCCAGCGCTGGAACCCCAGCCCTCCCTCCCTCTTGCTTCTTTGGGCCTGGTCGCTTCTGACTTGCGGGAGTATGCCGAGAAGGGTACGGAGGAAAACCCAAAGTGGAGGCGGATGAGGGCGGGGGGGACGAAGTGTTTGGAGGACGGAGGAGGCCCAGGAGAGGCAGGTGGAAGAAGAAGGGGGGATCGAAGATGGGGGAGTTGCATAGGGACGGTCCTGAGAAGAGGAGGAAGAGGCGGAGGAGGAGGAGGAGAACGGGGAGGTGCCGGAGGATGTGGAGGAGGGGGTGGCCAAGGAGGAGGAGGAGGAGCGACATGAAGATCGGGAATTGTTGGAGGAGGAACTTGACCAGGAGACGGGGAGGAATGTTAACTAGTGAGGTGCCTGGAGGGTGATGTGATGGTGAGGGCCTGTGAGGAGGGGAGTCAGGAGTAGAGCCAGGTCCGACTGGATGTTCAGAAGAAGGAGGTGTAGGAGGCAAATGAAGGCGGCGACGACGGTCACGTCGTCTACGACGTCGACGACGACCACGAAGACATGGACGACGACGGCGACGATGAGAGCGAGATGGATAGTTGGTAGCCTCTGGGATCTCTCTCGGGCTTGTCTTGGATTTCAGCTTCAATTTTCTTGGGATTGTTTTAGGGCCATTTTGGGGCGTGCCGCTCATGGATCCCGAATCGAGTGCTCTGTCGGACCCTCCTTGGGGTCTTTGGGGGCGCTTCCTGGGGCGCTCGTGGGGTCCAGAAGGCTTCTGGGGCGCTCATGGGGGTTCTTGAAGGTCGCTCCGTCAAGTTCTGGCACCCACGACGGGGACCGCCTGGGGCATTTCTTCGCCCAGGGACCCCTGGGGGCCGCCACGCGCGCGCGAGCTAGGATAGCCGAAACCTCCTAGCGGAGGTGTTGGCACCCAGGGAGGGGGAGGCGGCGGGGCCGCGCGACGCCTGGGCGAAGAGGGCCAGCGGGCGCCCCGCGCCGGGGAGGCGTCGGCAAAATCCCCTCCTCCCCCAGGAGGAGAAAGAGGAGGGGGACAGATGAGGAGGAGGAGGAAGAGGAGGGGAGAGAGAAGGAGGAGGAGGAGGAGGGGAGGAGCCTCTTGGAGCCTTGGTGGGGGTGTTATTGGAGAGCTCCTGGGACGTCTAGGAGGCTTCTTGGATCTTTCGTCTTGGGGCCATTTTGGCCGTGTTGGGCCGATCTTTGAGCGACACGGGGCTCTTGTGGGCAATCTTGGGAGCCATCTTCGGCATTGTGGGTTCTTTTTTGGGCTGTTCAATCTGTCGGGGCCGCCCGAGGGAAAACGAATCTGGGTGGCGACCCCTCTAGGGACCCCCCCCCGCGGGGAAGGGATCAAAGGGAAAGGGCTTCCCTTCACGTTGTGCAATTTCGCTTTAGATGGCACGCTTGAGGAGGGCCCATGGAAACAGACGGGGGGCGACGGATACGGCGAGGAGACGACTGTGACGACGACGAAGACGACGAGGAGACGACGGAGACGAGAGCTCGAACGGAGAGGCCCCTCGCACACGCCGACAGGGTCGGCGGATTTTTGATTTTGTGTTGACATTTGTTATTGTTCGTCCAAAATCCTACTATAAGGAGACACGCCCGACCTGATCATACCCCTACGGTGCCACTTATGGGTGGAAACTTTCCAGCCGCCCGGGGGGCAGGCCTCCCCGACGGCGGACAGCAACAATTATGTTATACCGCTATTCGCCCGCCAAAAGATCGAGGAGGCAAGCTCTGGTCCGCGGCAGAAGGGATCGCGCCGCGGTCGAAGCGGCTACTGGGCCACGACAGCAGGCGCCAACTACGCACAAGGGCAGACGCGGAAGAAGAAGGAAGAGAGGCGGCCGCGGAGTGACGAACGGCGGGCCCAGGAATTGGCATCGCTCGAACGTGTGCATGTTTTTTTCTGGCGAGGACCATCGAGGATCATCCCAGATCACCGAGCAATACAAAATGCGCACGAAGCCGACAAGTGCGCGGGGAAATTGGACGCCCGAGCGACGGCAAGAGGAGACACGCCAGGACTGCCACACCGAGCCCGCCCGGACCTCCGAAGCCCTGGCCCCGACCAGGACAAGCCGCCGCCCCCGTACCTGGAGGCGCGGCTCGTCGCCCAGCTGGGGCCCGCGCCGCAGGAGGACGCCCGGGGCCCCTCCACCCCGCGCGCGGGGGGGTTGGACCGCCGCGCTCCCCGCCGGGGGGCGTCGAAGGGAGGCCTCTCTTCGGCGCCCCCCTCGGGGAGCGCGGCACGGCTAACGTGGCGAACGGCGCAGTCTCTGACGTGGACGACTTTCCGCCTCCTCCTACTCCTCCTCCTCCTCCTCCTCCTTCTCCTCCTCCTCCTCCTCCTCCGCCCTTCTCCTCCCGCCCTGCCCCTCCGCCTCGCGGCCGGCGGCCGCCTCCTCGCCGCGCCCCTGCGCGCAGGCCCGGAGCTCCTCCCGGAGGCCACCTCCTCCTCCTCCTCCTCCTCCTCCTCCTCCTTCTCCTCCTCCTCCTCCTCCTCCTCCTGGCGAACGGTAACGGGTCTGACGTGGACGACACTCCTTCGCAAGCTGCCGCCTTGGACATTCCTTCGCGCAGACAGGTGGCAATCTTGGGCATTCCCTAACAGCTCTCTGTCCAAGAGCTGAGGAATGTTCGGCATGGTCATTGAGGGGGCGGGCGCTTGCGTCGTCGAGGCGGGGGGGTGTTCGTTGGTTCTTGTGGGCTAGCTTGCCTCGGGATGCCTTCCAGTAGCCTGCGCTTCGTCGGGGTCTGTCCGAGAGAGTCCCACCTCATCCCGAAGGGCCACGGGAGGCTTGGAGGTATCAGCCCGGAAACAACCAGGCGCCAGAGAGGGGAACGAGAACGAAGGGACGTGGATATATCATGGTTGAGGCCGCGAAGGGGCGCAGGTGCCAGGGCCCCTCCGCCTTCCTTCAACACACGCCTCCGCGTCCCCCACGTCCGCGCGCATGCCGCGAGCCGGAAGTCGGGCACGTTCCTCTACAGGAAGAAACATAGTCTGGCGACGATTTGCAAATTATGTGTGGATTATGTTTAATCTTTTTTGTTTCCCGTCCACACTCCGCCTGCAGGAGGACATGCCCGACCTAACTCGAGCCATGACTCGTTGATCCCCCTGTTTCTGTTACCACTAGGGGCGGGATGGGACCGCTGCGCCCACTGAGCGGGCCCTCCTCTAGACGAGCCGCAGTTGGAGGAGTTTGGGTCCCTAACCCCCGCTGGAGGGGGCACTGGCGGCCTGGCTTCGACACCACCTCTGGAGAGATCGTCGAGTCGATGGCTTCCCCCGGGCGGGGTAAGGAACCCAGCTCCCTCAGTTGTGGCTGGTCGTTCCTCCCGATCGAATTGTTCGGGGACCGACGTTCTTTGGACGTTCTGGTGCCTCTCTGGCCTTCCCGTCGCCGCGGCTGCATCCGCCTCGAAAGTCAGGCGATCGCAAACATGGATCAAGGGGGCGCGGACAGGCGATCGCACACATGGATCAAGGGGGCTCGGAATAACGACGGGTTCCGTTTCCATGGGGAATCGCAGATTTCCGCCGCCGAGCGAGGCGGCACACGCCGCATTTTGGGGAGCGCACCTCCCCCGATCCATGGATTTGGCGACGGCGCGCCAAGTCCATGGATCGCTAATCCATGTTTGCGCGCCCCCGATTCTGGTGCCCCTCTGGCCTTCCGTCGCCGCAGCTGCATCCGCCTGGAAAGTCTGGCCAGGCCGCGCTCCTGGACGGGTCCAGGGGTCGATACTCGACCACTGGGCCAAGACTTACGTAGGGCCTGTCCTTCTACAGGAGGAGTATTCAAAAGTCGTCAAAAAATAGTCTGGGGACGATGTTTTGCATTTGTTTCTCTATGATTGAATTTTTTTTATGTATTTTTTATTTCTCGTCCAGAGTCCGCCTGTAGAGGGACATGCCCGACCTAAGCCAAGACTTCAGACGTGGCGAAGAGATCACGACGGGAGGCTCTGACAGTTTTCTTTGCGTGGTGTGCTTGGCCTGGGCCCGACGCCGTGCACAGGCGCTTCAGGACGAGGCGAGCATCCTAGGAAAAGGTTCGCAAGGATCGAGATTATTGTTCTGTCCACGTCGTGAAGAAGCACTACAACGAGAGGCCCTCCTCTCCCCCCACAGGTCTTCCTTGCAGGAACGGGGAGTAGGGAGGCGGGGCTAATTACGGTGAGGTCCTCCGCCTCCTCCTCCTCCTCCTTCTCGTCCTCCTCCGCTTTCGTCCTCCTCCTCACTTCAGCGAGCCCTTTCAGTGAGGGCTCTGCGGCGCGCCGCCGCTGGGCGCGCCGTAGCCCGTCAGTCCGTCGGCCTCCGGTGGGCGTCGAACTCGTCCTCCTCGTCCTTCTTTGCGACGGACGCCCCAGGGGCGCCCGGCCTGCTCTTGCCGCATGGCAGCTCGGCTGAGCTGGCGGCCCCCGTATGTTACACGGGGGGCGGGCCGCACCCCCCTTCGGCCCAAGGGCTGGGGGCGGCCTCGCCGCGGCGCACGGTGCGCCGCGTCCTCCTCTTGGCGTAGTCGGCGGCGGTCGGTTCTCTGCCGCGCAGCTGAGGACCCTGCTCCTGTCCTCTTTCCTGCGGGCGTACAAGCTGGAAACCGCTTCTGGGGACCCTGCTCCTGTCCTCCTTTTCGGCGACCTCCAAGCGTTCTCGTCATGCCAAGCTGTTGAGGACCCTGCTCCTGTCCTCCTTTCAGCTGGCGCCGTAGTGGATTCAGCGCGCCGCGCTGCTGAGGACCCTGATCTTGTCCTCCTTTCAGCGGGCGGATCATGTCGAGGTGATGGTCGTGGTTGACGGGGTGGTGGTGCGGGAGTGGGTGGACTGTGCTCTGCCGCGCAGCTGAGGAACCTGCTCCTGTCCTCCTTTTGCGGGCATTCATGCTGGGGGCCGCTTCTGGGGACCCTGCCCCTGTCCTCCTTTTCGGCATCTTCCAAGCGTGCTCGTCCAGCCGCGCTGTTGAGGACCCTGCTCCTGTCCTCCTTTCAGCTGGCTCCGTCGTGGTTTCACCTTGCTTCGCTGCTGAGGACCCTGCTCCTGTCCTCCTTTCAGCGGGCGGATCGTGTCGAGGTGGTGGTCGTTGTTGGCGGGGTGATGGTGGTGGGGTAGGTGGTCGGTTGGGGGCGAATCCCAGGCCTTGTGGTTGATTGTCGTGCGTGTCTGTAGGTGGGTCGTTGGGAGGTCGGCTTGTTGCTGGTGTTGAGGTGTGGGTTGAGGGCGCACTTATGAGGCCTCCATGCACCGACTTCAAGTGGGGTTCGTGGCGGCCCCACCTCGCCCCGCTATGGCTCGGGGTCGCAGTGCCCTCGGTGAGGGCGAACCCCAGGCCTGGTGCTTGCTTCTGTTGTCGGTGGGGGATGTTTCGGCTGCTCTCAGCTTCGCCCCGTGGGCGCTCGGGTAAGCTCCGTCTCCGCCGTGGGGATGGTGGGGGTGGCAAGCTGGGGCGGGCCGCGGGGGCGCGGGCAGTGGCCGTCCTACCACCCCCCCCCCCCCCCTGCCCGTCACCATCCCCCCTGGTAGGCGCGGGCAGCACTCGTCCTGCCCCCCCCCCCCCCCCCCAACACACCCTTCGAACCCGTCGCGAAGTTTGATCCTTGCCTCACCAGAGCAGCGCGGACTTGTAGGGTGGTGTGGTGGGCCATCCTTTGGGTTGTGGGGGGTGGTTGGTCGGTGGTGCTTGGCGGTGGTAGAGGTCGTCTATCGTCTGGCTTGCTGGTGGCCGCTGAACTTGTGCACGTGCGATCGCTGCCTGCGTGAATGCTACAAAACGTGGCGACTTGTGCCTTGGGTGCTCCCACGCATTCGGGGCTTTTCCAGGACTTGCATCCTAACGCGCCCTGCAAAACTTGGCGACGCTGCCTGAGGTGTCCCCGCGCACTCGGAGCTTCCTCAGGACTTGCGTCCTGGCGCTTTTGAGCTTGTCGTCGGGGTCGCTCTTCGTCGCGATCAGCTTCAGCCCAATGCGGAACTTCTTCTTCTCGTTCGATGTAGTGCGCGTCGATATTGTTCAGGTTCTGGCTGGTAGGCGCAGCGGTCGCGGTTCTGAGACCCCATCTAGCCGCTTTGTTGACGTCGAGCAGGTCGGCGATGGCAAAATCGATCTCCTCTGGGTTTGCTGTGGTCAGTCTGTTGCGGAGGTCGTCGCGAGTGCCATTGTCGAGTATCTGTGTGGCGCCGAGGTCATGGTGCTGGGTCGCGGTCTCGTTAACCGTCGTCTGATTGGCAATGTGCCGGCATTCGGGGGTACGCCTGCAGGTCGACTCTGCCGCGATGGCGGCGACGAAGGGGGCGCGGTTTGAGGTCGCTGCGAAGAGCATCCGCAGGACCTCTCTGGTAACGTTGTTGGCGACGAAGATCTCGTCGGCGATGGTCTCGGACACTTCAGGCAGTCCCAAGGGTGCCTCGGTGGTGCGCCGCCTACTTGCTCTGTTGCCCAGAACGTCGCTGGCGTCGTGTCGGTGCCAGGTCCGTCGTGGGAGTTCTACGTATATGGCCGCTATATCACCGTGTAGGGTCCTTCGTTGTGCTCGCCGAAGTTCTGGTATTGGTTCTGAAGGCTGGCCGTCGCCGTGGATTGCGATCTGGGCGTAGTCCAAGCCGCTGATGCGCGTGATCCCGCTGTTGGCCATGATCTGCTGGAGGTCGGCGGCTTGTCGAGGGTGGTCGGTGATCAAGACGACCGCTTGGCGCTCGGCTGTCTGGCGAGGACTCGAGTCTGGCGAATACTTTCGGTACGACGGGCGACGTCTCGAGGAGCGGCAGCGGCGTGACGTCGCACGGGTGGGCTGGTTTGTCGCTGAAGGTTGGGTGGCGTCCTTGCTTATTGCGGGTGTTTGTGGCCTCGGCGATGGCGTTGAAGTTCTCTGCTATCTGCTGCTCCGTCAGCGGCTCGAACGTCTGGAGGCGCCAGGCGCGCCAGGATTTGCGGCAGCGGTGGGCCACCGAGACGTGCCTGATGCGCCTCGGGAGCGCGTGGTGCTCGGTCTGGCAGCATGGGCACGCGGTGCCTGTAGCCCAGGAGCGCGGGTCCTCGTGGTCAGGGTGATCCCTGTCCACGTGGACTGCCATGCCTTGCCTGGTGGCGACGCGGCCGCAGGCGTAGCAGACATACTTCTGTTTGTTGATGTCGTCGCGGTGGTCGAACTCGTCTGTTGGAGCCACTGCGGGGATCATCTGAATGTCCCTCTGGAGCTTGGCGTTCTGAGCCTGGTCACGAATGTGGTGAATATAGGCCTTCACCGCTGCCTTGACAGCGTTGGTGAAGAGCTTCGGCTTCTGTCGGGCCCAGTTGATGACGTCGCGGTCGTGCTGGGTTTGGCTGGGCCACCCTTCTCGATGAAGGTACTTTCGGAGGAATCCGATGTCTTTCTCGAGCAGGCGGCTCCAGGTGCCCTTTCGTTGACGCTGGCCGTCGAGTAGCTGGAGTAGAACTGCTGGAGCGTGGTTCAGGAGGCGTGGTAAGTATCGTAGTCGTGCTGTCATCTGGCGGGTGACGAAGTCAGGTACTCATGTCTTGGCGATCGCCGCGGCTTCGAAGACGCGCTGGTCGGGTGAGTTGGTCTTGGGCAAGGAGACTGCCACGCGGCATGGCCCCATGTACTTGGCGGCTATGTGTTTTCGGTCCTTTTGAGTCAGGTCGCCCCAGACGTGGCGGTTGCATGTCAGCGAGGAGGTCGAAGGCGACTGGGCGTACTTCACCTTGGCTTTCTTCGAGAGCTTCTTGCGGCGGAGGAGCTGCTTCTTCAGGGGCTGGGCTGCTCCGAGTGCGCGGTTGACCCTTAAGCACATTTCGGGCCCCATGACCCCACTCGCCGCGATGATGGTACCAAGGGCTTTCTGCTGCATTACTGACTGCACCTTGATCGATAGTCCGTCCAACTCGAGGTAGGTGGTGCCCTCCTTGGCGATTCGCTGTTTCTCCTTCCTAGCACCCGCGCCGTAATGCATGAGGATGGGCTTGGTCTTGTCGGGATGGTGGCCCCAGGCCGTTCTGGAACGCCGCTGTGCAGAGCCTAGCAGCCGCCAGGGTCGTCGCGTTGATAAGGTCGCAGGCTTTTGCGGTAGAGTTGTAGTCTGTGGGGTCGTCGACGAAGGACCTGTTCCTGAGCGCGCTCCGTCTTGAGGGGTCGACGAGAAGAGAGGGTCGCTGCAGGCCTCGATCTCGTGGCCACCTATCGACTGGCCGTAGGCCCCTTCTTCTATGACTGCCTGGTCGATCGCCCCCAGCATGATGGCGAAGTGGATGGTGGAGGCTACGTCAGAGTATGGCACTCCAGGTCGGGTGCTGGTCCGAGGCAGCTGGCGGTGCCTGGCGTTCTTGACTGTCATCCAGTTGGTGGTGTGGTGATCTGCGATCATGTGGCAGAGGTGTTCGTCGTCGATGTGCTGGTTGTTGTAGGCGGTCTGCTGGAGTCGTTCCTTTAGCGCTGGTCTGAGAAAGCCGGGGATGTCGATTCTTTCGACGAGGTCGTTGAGCTCGTCAGCGGAGGCCGGCAGCTGCATGCAGAACCCCCTGATGACTGAGTGGAAGGCCTCCCTGAGGTCCAGGAAGGTGATGCTGCATGATATTGACCTCCTTTGGCAGTCCCTGACGAAGGCAAGGCTGGTGTGGGTAATGAACTCCGTTGCCATCTTGGGTCGGGCGCCGCACTGGGTCGCTTCCAGGAACTCGGGTAGCAGGCCCTTCACGCGGGGGCGGGGGAAGCTGCCATGCATCTTGCCGATGGTGTTGTTGAGCAGGATGCCGCGGTAGGATTTCTGCAGTTCCATGACCCCCTGCCCCTTGTGGAAGTAAGTGGAGTACCCGCCCTTGGCGGCGATGGGCTCGGTGCTCTCGAAGTGGGTCTTGACGAGGACGGGGTGGAGCAGACGAGCCATCCCTCCAGGGCTAGCTCTGGACATGTCGTCGGTGAGCTGATCGGGGCCGCCTGGGCGCCCTCGCTTGGCGGCGGCAAGCTGGCTGGTCAGCTGGTGCTTGGGCATTGTGTTCTGGATCTTCGGTTCAAGCCCCTCGTGGCGGGTCCTCTTGTTGTAGTCAGCTGCTACCCCGTCTGCGTCCGTGGCTGTGGCCTCTTCAATTTTGCCGTAGAAGGCCAGGGCGTGGTCGGCGATCTCGCTCTTCGTCGCGAGGGGCTTCCCGTCATCGTTGGTGCGGATGATGGGCGTCGGCGGCTGCTTGGGCCCCCGTCCTCCGAAGGCCAGGAGCCGCTTGGCATGCAGGGCCTCCTCGCGAGGGGCGTGGTCGTCGATCGCGGTGCTCATCTCGCCGGCGGTCATCTCGAGGAAGGCGTCGCGATCTCTCGTGATCCACTTCTGGTGGACAGGCTTAGATGTCCTGAGGAATTGGACGAGGGCGTCGAAGTAGTGCTGGGTGCTGTCCACGGTGTTGGCTGCATCGGTTTCCTCTGCGCTGGCCGCTAGGCTGGGGGCGCTGGATATGAGGGAAGCCACCGCAAGTTGCACGTAGTCGCTGAGGTCGGCCAGGACGCTCACATCGGCGGGGTCGGGTAGCAGAGCTTCCTTCGCAATGAGCTTGGCCGTGTAGAGTAGCCCCGTTGCGCAAAAGTGGCTGGCAATCCCGCTGTTTTCTTGGCGATCCGTGTCGCCTTGAGCAGCGAGCGGCGAACCCGCAGAATGGTGAAAAAGCGCTTGGTGATGTAGGGCTGGTGTGGGGTGCGGCCGTGGGAGCGGAAGCACCCGTGCGCGGCCTCCGTGATCTTCTCGGTGACTGTGGCGAGGTGCTCGTTGAGGTTCGTGTCCCACGACGGGTTTTGGATTTCTTTGAGTTTTTGGTTGAACTTCTTGCGGCATCCTTCGTCGGCCAGTTTGCTCCCGTCTAGCTCAGGGGCGCCTTTGGTGACGGACGAGACGATCTGGTAGGCGAGCTGCAGCTCGACGGGGTCGTGGTCGTCGTTGGTCTCTGGGCCCTGGCCGTTGTCGATGCCGTAGAGCACGGAGCACTCTTCGATTGAGTCGATGTAGCTCTTGGGGGTGATGACGTAGTCGATGCGGTGTGGGTCCTTGCCCGAGTGCCAGGTGTAGTGCTCGGGTCCGTGGTTGACAAAGGTGTTGGCGGCTGTCAGATGGTTGGGCAAGAGAAGCTCATGGAGGCGGCGCCCATTCCAGTAGCGACCCCTCTCGGTCTCAAGGGCCTTCGAATGCGGGGCGTGGGCGACGGCAAGCACGTGGTTGAAGCCAGGGGCGGCAACGCGGACGATAAGGAGCATGGGGTCTTTTTCGGTGATTGTGAACTGGTCGGGTCTGAAGTCGAGCTCCTTCTTGCCGTTCTTGCCGTAAGGCTTGCTGAGCAGAACGTGCAGCTCGCAGCCGTAGTTGAACCCCTTATGGCGGCTGGAGATGATGTGGTAGCTGTTGGCGTTGGCGCATGTGGCATCGTCGTCATGTCCTGCGTCGCGCACGCCCCATGGCGCCCTGGCCTCCTGAATCCCAATGATGTGGAGGTCCTCGTCGTATAAGCAGGCCATCGTGGACTTACGCTTGTTGGTCTTCTCTTTTCATCGCGTCGATCCTTCCTTGGGCTCTCTGCCTGACTGGATGTTGAAGGTCGCGATGTTGATTTCAACTTGAATCTTTTTGTCACTGGACTCGGTGGGTTTGTGGAAGTGTTGGGCCTCGGCGGTCGTCTCGACCCTGCTGGCTATGAGGCTGCCGTGGCCGAATTCGGGGTAGGCCTCCCGAGTGTTGGGGTCTGCGTCGAGCAGGAACTCCCAGTCCCGCTGGGATGCGCCGTCCATGATGCTTGCCCACTCTTGCTGGGGAACTGGAACTTCTCGAAGACGTCCGTGGATTGCGGCAGCATCAGCAACCTCGTTCCACGGGTTGTGGTCGTGGGTGTGGACGTGCTTCAGGTTTATCTTATGGCTGACCATGTCGTAGAGGATGCAGAGAGTCCTGGCGAGTTCGGGGTCATGGGCGGTGAAGGCGAGCCTCTTCGCGAGCTGCAGGGCGCCGAGCGAGTCCGTTGATATCGTGGTGATGTGGTGGGGGTTGTAGTGTATCACCCAGGCGAAGGCCCAGATTAGGGCGGTGATCTCGACGGTCGTGGAGGTCGTCTCGTGGTCGCTGTTGTCCTTGAGGGCGATGTCAGTGCCGCTCTTGTGCTTCCCGACGATGGCTCCCTGGAAGCTGAGGCCGTGGTTGTCGTCGCCGACGATCACCACGGACCAGGCGTCGTCGCTCGGCTGCTTCGGGTTTTTGGAGCCATCCGTGAAGAGGTGGATCTTTGCTCCTTCCTGGAGTGGTCGCTGCGGGTAGTGACGGAGCATGTTGTCGGCTGTCTCGTTGAGGCTCTCGTCACATAAGTCAAAGGTGAGGTCGGGAGGTGGGGTTTGCTGAATCGTTTGTCGGATGGTAGGTCGCTCGTCGAAGTGCACTCTGCGCTGCTCTTGCGGTGGGGGTGGCGTGGCGGTTGTTGTTGTCGGCTGGTCGGGTGGTGCTGGGGGCTTGACGTTGGTAGCTCTGAAGGGTTGAATGGCCTTCCCTCTCGCTCGTGGAGGTCGCTTGCCCGCGGTGTGAGGCTGTGCTTGGGCGTCGATCAGGTGCGTCGATGTTGGGGGGAGCGGGGGGGCAGAGGTGCGCGAGCGGAAGGGTTGCATGGCGCATCCCCTGTTGGTATGCTTGGCGTCTAGGTAGGTGGCTTCGATGTCGTGGATCTCTTGTGGATCTATGCGGTTGGCAGCCGCAGGAGCGGGCGGTGCTGCGTCGACTCCTCTGGGCGTCTGCGCCGTGTGTTGGTGGCGCATCCAGGGCATCAGCCGTGGCGTCGCTGTTGGTCCTGTGGCGTCGGCAATCTTGGCCTCTGGTGGGCCGTCTGAGGTCCTGGAGGACTCTCTTGGGGGTAGGTATGGCGGTGCTGGAGGGCCGGCCTCGGGGAGTCTCCGGGGTTCTTCTGGCGGGGGCCTGCGGAGTAGGTCTTGGTGCTGCTCCTCAGGTTGCTGCAGTCCTTGCTGCTGTGGCTGCTGCAGCCCTTGCTGCTGCTGTCGTCGGTGGGCCTCCTGGTGGGGCGCTTCGGCAGGCCCTTCTGAAGAAAAATGGGTCGGCGCCTTAGAGCCAAAGTGGCTGGTCGCCTGGTTCGCCCTCTGCTGGGCTCGTCTCTGGAGAGCGGGTCGGTCGGGTCGATGGGGGTTTGCCCCGTCTGTCCTCGCTGGCCGCCCTGGTGGGGTTGTTGGTGCACTGCTGTGGTCGGCCGAGGGGATGGTCCTCGGTCCGACGGTTGGTGCAATCGTGTTTGCTGGTGCCTGCGAGCTGCCAGGGTCGTAGTGCTGGTCCCAAGGCGCCGCGGCTGAGTAGATTACCCACTCGCTGGTAGTGTTGAAGCTTTTTTTTTTTTTTTTTTTTTTTTTTTTTGCGTCGCTGTCGCTGGTTGTGGTGTGCTAGGTTGCGCTGCCGCTGGCGTCACGCGGTGTGCTAACCCACAAGCTAACACCGCTGAGGCGGTCGGCGGCCTCCCGAGCGGGGCGCGCGGCTGTAAAGGCGTCTGGGCCTGTCGCTGAGCGGCTGGCACCGCGCGGATCGCACAGCACGTCTGCTGGGGCTCAGTGGTTGCTCCGTAGAGCAGGTAGTTACGTATAGCCACTCTGAGCGGGCAAGGTGCTCAATCTTCTGGCGAGGTGGTGGCGGGACTCCCCCGCTGGGCCAGTCGCCCCCCAGCGGGGGGAGTCCTGCTCAGTTTTTCTGTCGTGTCTGAGCTTGAACCCGAGCTGCCCTCCAGACCCTCGGGGTTGAAGCGCCTGCGGTCAACTGGGTTGTCGAATCCGTCGCCGTCGTCCAAGATGCGGACCTTGCGCGCTGGCCCGCTGTGGGTGCTTGCCCTGCGGAGGGCCGATGGTGGTGCAGATCTGGTTCGGTCGGGAGTGGCAATGTGGAATCGTGCTGGAAGTGGCTTAGGGGAAAAGGGTTGGGCGGGTGCGAAGGGAAAGCCAACTTCGAGCGTGATCGGGGGGCGTGGGGGGAGTTTGGGTTCCCCAGTAGGGTGGTCTGTGCGCGAGTCGGTCGGAAGGGTCGTGGGGGGGCGGGGTCGTCGGGGAGCGGCGCGGACTGTGCCCTCGGCGGGGTGGCGGCCATGGGGGCCGGGTGGGGCAGGAAGGGGCCTGCTCCCCAGGGAGCACTTTGTGTCGGTTGCTCGTCAGGGGGGTCGGCGATGCCTGGACTGTCGGCGTGTGTGTCGGGTCGCCGAGGTCACGGTCGTTGGGGTCGTCGAAGATCAGGTATTTTGCGCGTCGTGTGAGAAGTGGAGTGGGCGTCTCGGCCAATAAGCCTTCGTGCGTCTTCGGGGTCTTCGTGGGCGTTCCGTCTCCCGCAGCTGGCGTCGGAGCAACTTCCGTGGGGGATGCGAGGTCGATGAAGGGGCCGAGTGGTTGCGATGGTGGCGTCGCTGGTGGTGGGAGTGGTGGTGACCTCTGTGCTGGTGCTTGCGGCTGCGGGTTGTTGTGCAGGTTGGCGACCTGGTCGAGCTTCCGTGTCGTTGGGTACGTACCTTTGTAGCCGAGATCCACGGAGCGGTCTTCGATGTTCTCGCTCCCACAGCGCCTGCACCTGATGATCTCCGTCTTGCAGCTGGTGTAGTTGCCGCAGGTCTGGCAGAGGCTGCAGTAGAAGGGCGGCGTTAAACCATTCGGAGACCCTGATGATGAGGGAGCGCCACGAAGTACTGCCGTCTTCGGGGTTGCCATCTGGTCGAGTTCGGCGTAGTACGGTTCGCGGGTCACGTCGTAGTCGAATTCGCGCGGCGGGGCGATGGCGTGGAGAGCGGAGCGAATGCTGTCCCGCTGGTGGGCCTCCTCATCGTCGGCTTGGGCCTTGCATCTCCTGCTTCTCGGTTTCCGCGGCGAGTGCGCCGGCGACGCTGGCGAGCATGTCTGTGTCGATCCTGGGCGCGATGTTGTCGAGCTGCTCCCGCAAGGTCTTCTACGATGCTCTTCCTGCTGTCCGGCCAGCTGTTCACGGTGATGCTCTTCCTGTGACTGTATCTGTGCCATTGCGGCTTGTCGCTCTGTGCTGGCGAACTGCTGCTGCTGGTGTATATCCGCCTCGTGCTGGCCGTCTCTCTCCAGAAACTGCTCGCGTTGGTGCTGGTCGTACTCAGTCTTGTGCTGCAGCTGTTGCTGTAGGGTAGCCCGTTGGTGCTTTATTCCCTTGGCTTCGAGCTGGTCGCGCTTGTTCTGGATGCGGCGCTGCCCCTCGAGCTGGAGTTCCGCCTGCTGGTAGACCACCTCGTGCTCCCTCTGGACCGCGGAGTGTTCCTCCAAGAGCTTAGTGGCCGCGATAACCGTCTGCTGCTGAATCGCATGCTCTTGGTGGATCTCATCTCGCTTAAGGTCCGCTTGGGCCTCCGCGATATGCTCGGCGATGCTGGTTTTTTTTCTTTGCACCTCCTGGGCCGCCATGACTTGCACGGCCTGCTCCTCGAGGCGGAGGTCCTGGCTCATCTGCTTTATCCTCTGGCCCTCGCGCTGCAGGCGTTCGCACTCACGATGGAGTTGTTCACTCTGTGCTTGCTGGCGGGCTGCTTCCTTGGAGGTTGATGCGGCGCAGGTCTGGGTGGCCGTTTCCGCGCGGATGGCGTCGAGCATGTGGTGGGCCTCCTGGCGCTTCTGCTCGTATGTGAGCTTCTGACGCTCGAGGTCGTATATCATCGCTCGCTCGTGGTTCTCCATCCTCTGCGCTTCCTGCTGCATCTTCTCGGCGTAGATCTGACGGACGAGCTCTTCCCGCTGCTGGAGCACGCGTTTTTGCTGTGCTTCTTGGCGGCGGAGTACCTCACTGTTCCTTGCTATGGCTTGCTCCGTGGCGTTCAGAGCCGTCTTGGAGAGCGTTTGCTCGTGGTGCACGAACCTGTCGCGGCTTTGCATCTTCATTTTTGCGAAGCACTGGCGCATGGCTTTGGCCTCCTCCTCGTACTCTTCTGTCTTTTTGCGGAGCTCGGCATTGGCGATTTTGACTTGGCTCCTCCCATCTCGGCGCGCTTGCTCGCCCTTCTTCCTGAGATGCTCTGCGATGCTGCTTGATGGTGAGGCCGGTCTGCTCGAGAGCGAGGATGGAGGATCCCGACTGGCGCGACGGCGAAATGGGGCGTTGGCTCTTTTATGTCTGTGTTTCTTTTTGTTGTCCTCGGAGTCAGCATCACGCTCAGTGTCAGCTTCGGCGGCAATCTCGAGCTTGACGTCCGTGATGGGGCGCTTCAGGTCGGCGATGCGCTGGGCGTTGGCGTCGGCCTTGGTCTGCAAAGCTTCTTTTTTTTTGTCCGTGGGTGTCTTTCTGCTCTTTTGCCAGCGCCGCAATCTGAGACCGATACTGTTGTAGCCGAACGTGAGGATCCGTGGCCATCGCGAGCATGCACTTTATTACCGAGGCCTCCGTTCAGAGCTTGCTGGCATCAACTTTGGCGGACTGCGCGCCGCTGATCTGATCGGCAACTCGGCCAAGCCTCTGTTGGAGGCTCCTCGTCCACAGCTTCCTCATGTCAGGGTCCTCTGGCGGGAGGCCGAAGGACTCGTGGTCGCGGGATATGGAAAGCGGAAGCTCGAGCACGGCGTCGGCGATGGCCTGCTGCCTCTTGCTGAGGGTGTTTTCCGGAATGTGGACGGCGGCCTTCTTTCTCGACTCGGAGCGGCTCCAGGAGCTTTTGCTCTTGCATGCTGATCTCCGCCAAGGCCATGGTTGTTCCCCCACAGCGGGCCCAGGGCGCGTGGTCCCTGCTCCTGACCACCTTTCCCCTGGGCCTTGCGCTGGCGCATGGGCTGTGGACCCTGCTCCTGTCCACCTTTTCCCAGCGCCGCGCTGCGACGCCTCGAGGTGCGTGGTCCCTGCTCCTGACCACCTTTCCCTCGAGGCGCCGCGCTGGTGCTTCCAGTCCGGCGTCATCTTGTCCACTTGTGGCTGCAGGTCGCGCTGGCACTCCTGCGCGGAGTGGTGGCCGCCGATGGTCCTGGCGGCGTCCAACACTCTAAGGAGGGTCCTCGCCGAAGAGCGACGAGCTCTTGCTCTCTTGTGCCACGATGGCTCCGCCGCCCTGCGGGTGGCGGGGGCGCTGCGCCTGCGGTCGGGCGGCTCGCGAGCCTGGCCGATGGGCCAGCCGCGCGGATCGAGGGGGCGACGACGACGACCCCTGCACAGGCGCGGCGCAGGCCCACCTCGGCCAATGGCTTTCCTCCTCCTCCTCCTTCTCCTCCTCCTTGGCCTCGCCCTCACCTTCCAATTCCTGTGCGCCCCGCTCACGACGCGGAGGAGAGAGAGGGCCAGTTTTTCTCGGACGTTTTTGGTTCGGGTTGCGCTCAGGCATGTCAGTCAATTTGTCTCTGGTTTGTATCAAGTATTTGTGCCCGCGTGGGAGCCCCCCCCCTGGGAGGTTAGCGCAGGGACTCCTTTTTCCATTTCAGCTCCCATGGCCACAAGTGATCCCTCTGGGCAGAGGTGGTGGGCAGTCGTGTTCGACATGCTGATGCTGATCAGCCCAGAGTGCGTTCTCTTTGGCCAGGCCTGTCACCGTCGCTGTTTTTCAGGTTGATGAAGCGCGGTCATCCGAATGCTCAGGTTCATGAGCGGTGTTGTCCCTCTGCGCTGCGGACTATGCTGCATGCAGCAGGGCTTGGCCTCGCTCAGCGGGCGATGCCTTCGACATGGCGCCTGGAGGCGCCGTGAAACCAGCCGCACGAGATTCGCCGATCCCTCCTTTACAGTGGAGACCTATGCCAAGAAACACCATGCTTGCCTCCAGGGTGCCCTGGGTTTCTTGGGTTTCGACGGTTTTGCAAAGGAAAGCGCGACGGTCCCACACCAAGAATCAAGGGACGTCCTGGGCTCTCAGAGTAAGTTGGGTTTCTTGTGGAAGGTTTCTTGTGGCCTTCCCGATACACCTTCACGGACCGGAGAACTTTGCGTTCGGCTTCGCACGCACGGCACGGACACGAGCTCCGGTTCCACGGGTTTCACCCAACCTTTCCAGCGTTGCGCCCACATGCAAACCTGTTTGTGGGCCACGTGTACTCCTCCTCCTCCTCCTCCTCCGTCCTCCGCTCCTCGTGCGTGGGTGGGGTAGGGGCGCCCTTCTGCCTACGCTAGGGTAGGAGCGCCCTCCTGCCTCGAGAGTCGAGGGCGGTCTTCCCTTCGCCCTCTCGACCTCAGTCTACTTCCAACGCCTGCCCACTTCGTGGTTCTATAAGTCGGGCCTGTCCCTCTGCAGGGGGAGTATTCGAAAATTGTCAAGAGATAGTCTGGGGAAGATGGTTTCATGATTTTTAACACATTTTGCAGTGTTTTCATGTGTTTTTTATATGTCGCCCAAAATCCGTCAGGGGGGGACATGCCCAACCTAAGCCTACTTCATGGTTCTCTTTCAACCGCCGCGTATGTGTTGGCACATGCTGTCCTCGTTCCGTAGTCTTGCGCCGCCTTGCGACAGGTTTGCGCCTCGTTGGCGTGGCAGTGGCCCCAGCGCGAGCGTGCAGGGTTGGACACCGCCATCAGACCGTGACCACCGTGACCAGCGTCGGAGAACCGCGAGAATTCGAGGTTGAACGACCCACGACGTGTCAGAGAGGGACGACGACGTCAACGAGGCGTGACCTGTCGTTTTCCCACGTAAACATCCTAGACCTCCCAGATGTGGTCGGAGTAGATGGGGTCGTAGGATCGCGCCGCATCGCCGATGCATCGCCGATGCGGCTCGATGTGGAGCCCGATTTGACTCACGTCGACGTCGCCGATTCATCGTCCACCGCCGATTCATCGTCCACGTCGACGATGTACCGCGATGCGGCGCGATCTTGCAACCCCATCTAGATGGGAAGCCTCTAAACATCCCTGCGCACAGGAGGGCCGAGGCGTGAATGCCGCCGCGGGGCCCACGTTCAGCGGCGAGGCCGCGGGGATCTGCAGATGCAGCGAGTCTCGTGGCACCACCTGCTCCTGCACCGCCGCCTCCTCCACCTGACCCTCTGCCTCCCTCTCCCTCCCTCGTTCACCCATTCCCGCGAGTCAGCATTTATTTGTTGCGTAGCAGCGCGGCAGAGGCAGACCGCACGCGCGTCCAGGCAACTTGGGCTAAGATATTGCGAATTGTCCCGCCTGTTTGGTCATGCATACCTGGAGGGAGCCTCTTCCCTTTTTCTTGCGCGATCTTGGGCCAACGGTCCAGGAGTGGGGCGGTTCCAGGGATGGGCTCAGCGGGGCGCCGTGCTGCGCACCCGTACATGAACCGACGCGGCTTCTTGAAGATTTGGTGAACGAATTTGGTTGCGGCAGTGGCTGGTCCGTCGCCGCAAAAACCGTCGTCGCCCGAATCAACACTTACACAAGATGCTCATGTGTTTGTTTGCTGCCGCCGCTCCCACACAATGCGCATGTTTCATCGCATGGCATAACTTGTTACGGTGTGGTGCTTGTTGGTTCGGAATATTCTGGGCCCTTCAATTAGGGGCTGCTGCTGCTGCATCGTTGGCCACATTTCAGGATCGGCGCTTTGTTTCCGTCGTTCAGATTTGTGTTCTCGCCACAGCGCGGGCCTCATTTCCAGATCCAGTTCATTCCTCGCCGTTCTCATCCGCCTTGCCTTGCTTCTCTTGTTCCTCCTGATCTCCTTGCTCCTGTTGCCCCCCTCCTTCTTCAGTTCCCTGCTGTTCCTGTTCTCATCCGCCATATCTTCATTTATTATTTTATATGTTCACAAGTTGGCGCCTCAGTGTACCAGATCAGTCGCTTCTGGCACCGTGCCCCCTTTCTGTCCTGGTCACTAGTCACGTCGGTATTCGCCTGTTCGTGTCTCAGCTTGGTTGGTTTCTCGAGGCATACTGGAATGTAGATGTGGAAGCATATGTGGAGATGTATACTGGAATGTTTAATGAAGGAAGGTGTGCGAGAAATATCATGGAGGGACCTACGACCAACGTGTTTGCTTCTGTTCCACAAGCCGCGCAAAACAACCAATGAATTTGGACAAGGGGAGCGTATGGCATGATCATGCCCCACCGTGCGCATGTTGCGAAGCTATTGAGGCTTGCGGCCTCGGCCACCCTGCGCATGCCGAAAACGTCCCGTCCCAACAAGAGGGACGCTTCTGCGCTTCTCGTCTTGCCTCGCTTCGGCAGACAGGTTGCGACCATTGTGGCACAGCCGGGCCTGATCAGCATGCCGATTCTGCGGGGTGCCCTGCCGCCGTGCCCATCGCGCTCCGGCCCTGCCCGTCGCGCTCCGTGCCCGCGTCACGGCTGGAGTACAGGCTGCCCTCGGAAGCGACTCGTGTCCTCATGCGTCGAGCCGAGCCGAGCCGAACCCTCGCCTTCGAAGCCGACCTGGCACGCCCGCTTTGGAACGCAACACGTACCGCGTTCAACCCGTCCGTACGAACACGTTGCGTGCTGGTTCAACGGGTTGTCCCACGTTTTGACGAACGCACCGCGCCAAACGTACGTTTTCAATCCCCGTGCCAACGCGCCACGAGCAGCGTGTTGCACACGGGGGCCTCTTCTCTTCCCGCGTTTGGTCGTGCCCCGGTTCTTCGGCTCGCTTGCGCCCGCCGACACATCGGCGGCGAGACCCGGGGGGAAGTGAGAAGATGCGGGGCTTCTCTGAAGGCTCGGACGTCCCCGGGCCTTCTGAGAAGTGTCCTGGTCCTTCCCCGAGGGCACCGACAATTTTCCAGAAGGCACGAGGTCTTCTGCAAAGTCCCGCCGCCTTCTGAGAAGGCCGTCTTCTTCTCACTTCATCCCCGGGAGCGCCGCCGAATTTTGTGTTTGGATCATAACTCGGGTCTCCTGCGGCCGTTCGGGACGATCCAGGCACCCCCTGAACGCCCTCGACGAGGCGCAGCTACTGGCAAGCATCCCGAGGCTAGAAAACCGCCGAGAGCCGACGACAGCGTCCGAAAGCCTCGAATCTCGCCCCCGAAACTTCCACCCAGCCGCTTGCTGCCGAAAGTTGCGTACTGTTGGAGGCCTGGATACGGGCACCAACAACACAGGGGGTTGTCTCCACAGGGGAAGATGATCGTAGAATTCGGTGCTGGTGGTATTATTTCGGCCACCTTGGAAGCCAGAATATTGCCACCCCCACCGAGGTCGGGATCCTCTTCCCTCGGGATTGCCACCATCACCGAGGTCGAGCCAGGATATTACCACCACGCCGCCGATATTGGTGTTGGTGTCAACCTCTGGGTTTAAGTCGGGCCTGTCCCTCGACAGGAGGAATATTCAAACATAGTGACAACATAGTCCGGGGACGATTTTTGAAACAATTTGGTTTGGGGCTATGTTGGTGGAGTTTTCGACTATTTTTTACGTTTCGTCCAAAATCCACCTGTAGGAGGACACGCCCGTCGTAATTGTAGGCCTGCGATACTGGGGCAGCCGAGCTCCCCCTGGGCCCCAGGCGATGGGCTGGGGCTCCGGCAAGCGCCTCGGCGGCGGCGCGGCGGCGGCCCCGGCGCCAGCAGCCGCGGAGCGGCCCGCCTCGGGCGCTGGCCGGAGGCTGCGGCCTGACCGGGAGGGCGGGCGGGCGGGCCGGGCTCTTGAGCTTTTTTGGAGCCCTCTCGGGGCCCTCCAGGGGCTGTCTTTGGCCGTCTTGGAGGGCCCCTAGGGGCTGTCTTTGGGCCGTCTTGGGGCCTTCTTGGAGGCATCATGGGCCGTTTGGGGAAGATCTTGGGGGCCACTTGGACCGTCCTGTTCGCTGTCGGAACGTAAACGCGAATGTGCTGAGTGTGTGAGTTTTTCTCCAGGAGGGCTTGGCGGGCGGCACATGTCGACTAGACTTCAGTCGGGCCTGTCCCTCTTCAAGAGGATGTCAAAAAATAGTCAGCGGACGATGTTTTGCTTATTTCTGGGCATAATGTTTTGCATGTATTGTTCATTTTTTTTGTCCCAAATCCGCCTGTAGGGGGACACGCTCGACTTAAGACTAGACGTAAGAGTGACCCTTCGCCGGAGTGACCGTTAGTTCGAAGTAGAATAAACGCCATAGACATAAATTGTGGCTCTCCGCGCGGATTGGATCTGCGCTGGGTCCCCCCCAGCGGCGCCTCCGGCAACGCCCTTGGCGCGCTCCGACGCAGATCCAAGCAATCTGCGCGGAGCGCCAAACGTTTATGTTTATGGTTTTTGTTTCTTCTTTCAGTGCGGGCCCATAGGGGTCCCCCGATCGCCGAACGCGATGCGATAGTAGCGTCCTGCGCGCTCGTGTTTGGTCCCCCCGTTGCCCCCAAGAAGCCGCGCACCAAAGGTCACTCTTACCCAGGGTCACTCTTGCGTGTAGCCGAACATGGAAGCTGGAAGAAGTGACTGGGGCCAGCCCTTCCACTCTTTCCAGTCCTGGCCAGTGTGCTTTTATTTTTGCAGCCCTGGCGACCGCATCCTTATGGTTTGGGGCTCGCTTCACCCCCTGCCAGTGTTCCCAGCCCTGGCCACCTCCACTTTCACTGATTTTCCAGCTTCCTCTTTTTCCAGCTTCCATGTAATGGTCAGGGGTTGTGTGGTAGGGTCGTTTACGATTCGAGGTTAGAGGGTTTCGGTAGTGTTCGTCCGTTCGCGGTGGAGTTCCAGCCTCGGGATGCGCTCCAGCAGTTGCGCCTCGTCGAGGGCGTTCCGGGGGCGTTCCAAGCGGCCGCCGCAGTGCCGAGCTATGGCTCGAAAACCACCTGGGGATAGGCATAGAGGGGGACGCACGGACCCCCAGTCGCCCATCGATCGCTGATAGGGGCCCGATAGCCCCAACTTCCCCAGGAACGCGCGGATTCACAGTCGGCGGCGCATCGCCGATCAGTCGGCGATGTATCGCCGATTCCAGGTCGATGTGTCCCGCCCTAAGCCAGCCAGCCCCCCCCCTTACCTTACCTTTGCCCTTCAGGGTGACCTGAATGGGGGGTGAAGAGAAGGGGCCCTACAGGGGCCCTTGTCCGCCCCTTCGGGAGCCAGCAGGGGCCCTAAAAGGCCCTTTTAGGGTCCCTTTCTTCATCCCCCGTTTGGGTCACCCCCTGTTGCCACCCGCCCGAGCGGGGTGAGGTGAGGATCGGCTCGGGGGTTGCCAGAGGTGCCACTGGCCCAAGGTGCCCCCAGTGTTTCATTCCATGTTGGAGACCCTGAGGCCCCCCTGGGCCTCGTGAGGGGTGCTCTGGAGGCCGCGGGGGCCTCCTTGGGAATCCTCGGGTGCACCTGGGGCCAGCGGTACTCTCTAGCAACAGCCGATCGGTTACCGAAGGAGAGAAAACATAAACATTCAGCCACGCGCATGGGGGGGTGGGGGAAGGGCGGAGGGCTTCTGAGAAACACCCCTGCTTCTGAGAAGGCGCGGGCCTCACCTACAGATTTGGGGCCAACGCCTTCCAAAAAGCAGTCTCCTTCTAAGAAGTCCTCCACCCCCTTGTGCGCGCCGCCTAGACACATGCACAGGCACAATGTAACTGTTCGAAGCTCCGCGCGGATTTCTTGAACTGGCGCTGGCCCCCCTCGGCGGCGCCTCTGGCGCAGGCTTTGGCGCTCTCCGCGCGCCAGGGCAGAGGAGGGGGGTCCTACGCGGATTCAAGAAATCCGCGCGGAGCGTCGAACGTGCCGTTGTTCTTCCTTTAGATCGGTCAGAGTCTCGCGAACCAGGGCATTGCAAGACCAGGACCTATCCAGATCCAGCAGGAGAAGCAACACTTGCATAATGTTTGGGCTCAGGGCTGCATTTCCTTTTATGCTTACTCCGCCCATGTCCTGGTTGATCCATGTCCCCGTCCCTCTTCCATCCACCCTCAACCCTCCTCCTCCTGTTCCTCATCCTCATCCTCCTCATCCTCATCCTCCGTAGCCATTTTGGCTCAAGGGGCGTGCTCCTTGACTTCCCAACCTCTCTTGAGACGCCTGGTGGCCACGCACCAAGGGCGGGTGCGGCCGCGCCCCCTGGTCCTCGGCGGCCGCTCTCCTCGGCGCCGCGAGCACCTCCCCCCATTTGTCCCCTATCCCCTCTCGCCATGGGGGAGCCGCGCCAGGCCATGCCGTGGCCCGCGCATGGGAATCCCCCCTCTCCGATTTCACCAGCGGGGGGCGAAGGGAGCACCCGCGCCGAGTGCACCCCGTCCCCAGGTCGAGTGGACACCGCGATGTTGAACGCCCTCAGAGAGCTCATTCAGCCTCTCTCTTGCAGTGACGACTCGCTGACATCGCAGCTGGTTCTTGGAGTCCTGGAGATAAACACACAGATCTCGGGAATCCAGGGCCAGATGATCCTAGCAAACCAGAACTTCCAGAAGTTACAGAAAGCTCACGCCGACCTTGTCCAAGCGACCTTGTCCAGTGACCAACTCAAGGACATCCAGGAACAGGCTCTGGTGCAGACTATCCAGGATCGCGAGGTGGCAGAGAAGGATATGAATGAGGAGCTTGCGGGGATGGTAGAGGCGATGGAGGAGGAGTTGGCGGCGATTCGGGATTCATGTCCTACCCCGCCCGCTGAAGATGACTTTCCGCGTCAGGTCCGCCGTCGGATCGAGCTCAATGGTGTCGGCAATTCCATGCGGTTTGTTGTATTAGGTTTCAAGCGTCCACTTCTGGAGCCCACGTTGCGTGCTGCAGCCACCCACATTGTGGACGAGTGCGCCCCTGAGGCTGACCGTGTCCAGATCCAGGTGAAGGCGCTTAATTGTAGTAGGAAGGTTTTCTCGACTTCCCTAACAATCTGATGACGGATGCGTTTCGTGCGATGACGATGACGGAAGGCCCGTTCACGCTCCCGAGTCCTGAGGGTGGCCTTGACCTTGAGCTCCGCGTCCGCCGTGAACCCCACACAGTCGCCTCGCAAACTATTCTACTTTCTGGGGAACATGAGGCAGGCAGTGGCGAACATCTTCGGTCAGGAGCGATCAGATCTACGGGGCATGGGGGTATTATGTATGCGATCAGCGGGCCCACCTCTGCCACTGTTTTGAAAGTGATGATTCACGACGCCGGCCCGTCGGCTAGCGGTGCGCGCGCGGCTCCAGGTCCGATTCTCGGAGATTCGTCCCTTTAGGCGAGCACAACAGCTGTATAGAAGGGAGGAGGCCTCAATGGGAGTCACGCGGATTCTCCGGCGCTTCAGGGCGCGACCGAGTCTTCCTCGGCTGAGACCAGTCGCTGTACTAATTCGTTCGACCCAGTGCCACAATGTTCTCCTCCTCCGGCTGGGGGCGCCGGTGGGGTCCACCGTCCGTTCGTCCCGCTCGCACTCTGCGCGCGGAACACTCGCGCCCTTTTTGCTTCTATCTCATCTCCATCTCTCAGGGCAAGCTCTCGGTTTCAGCAAGCGAAGCGTCTTCTCGAGCGCCATCGGGCGGCACGTCTCCAGGAAGCCCCTGGATCTTCGGCCGATTTGTCAATCTTAGCAAACGAACTTCGCACAGGTACATTGCATGGAAGCTTTATGGATGATAGGGCTGCTGGGGGGTGGTCACCTTTGTCTCCTCGGAGCTGTCTCCGCAGTTTCTCTCGGTCGAGCGCGTTGAGCTTGTCGAAGGTCGCATCGTGACGGTTCGGTGCAGTGGTCCCGCGGGGGACTTGTATATCGCGAATGTTCACGTGCCTCATGCGTTCGAGAATGCAAATGTATATAAGCGGTGACTTCAGAGGATCTTGGATCACCTACCCCATGAAGCGCATAGTTTGTTTTTCTTGCAGGAGGGTGGAATTTCGCGCGCGTGGAAGATGGGGGGGTACTTGGCGAATGTGGAGTTCGGCCATGGTGACCGATCGCAGTGCGACGCGCTCCAGGAGAAGCGCGGTAGATGGCGTGAGATCCACCAGGCTGGCCCAACCAGACGGGACATGTATGGAGGCGTGCTTCGGGGGTTCGCTCGGCTAGATCGGTTATGCACCACTCCCCCTGGGGTATCGTCAGTGAGATGATTGTCTGCTTGCGGGGTCGGCGCTCGACGCGCCGGGGGGCTTCGTCTGACCGCGCCCCAGTTGCGGCGGCCATTGCTCTTCCCAAGCCAAGCGGGATCCGACCCCCGCAGCTTGCCCGCTTCGCAGACCTGCGCGCCGCCGCGCTGCATCCGGGCAGGCTGCGCTGACTGGCGAGGGGGTGGGGGGCGGGCGAGGAGGAGGCGGAGGAAGAACGCGGCGAGCAGACATTCCCAAGCAGGAGGAGAGGGAGGGGGGTGACGGCAAAGGAGCATCAGGCAAGCACGCACGACGGGGGCGGGCGGGGGGCGGGGGGGGCGAGGGTCGTCGGCGGCGCGCGGGTGGTCGTCGTGGGTCGCCGTGCCACTGGGGGTCGTCGCGGGTCGTCGGGGGAGGGGCGGAGGGTCGTCGCGGGGCTGGGGTGGAGGGCCGCCAGGGGAAGGGGGGGTCGTCGCGGGGCTGGGGCGGGGGGTCGCGGGGCCGGGGCAGGAGGTCGTCGGGGGCAGGGGCGGAGGGCCGTCGCGGGGCCGGGGCGGAGGGTCGCCAGGGGGAGGGGCGGAGCGTCGTCAGGGGAAGGGAGGGGCGGAGGGCCAGCCGGCGCCGACGGCGACTCATACGGC